TAGATAGATAGATAGATAGATAGATAGATAGATAGATAGATAGATAGATAGATAGATAGATAGATAGATAGATGATAGATAGATAGATAGATATGATTGAAATGATAGATAGATAGGTAGGTAGGTAGGTAGGTAGGTAGGTAGGTAGGTAGGTAGGCAGGCAGGCAGGCAGGCAGGCAGGCAGGCAGGCAGACATAGATAGATATGATTGAAATGATAGGTAGGTAGGTAAGTAGATAGATGATAGGTAGGTAGGGAGAGAGAGAGGGAGAGAGAGAGAGATTAGAGCCAATATGGTATAGTGATTAAGACACCAGGCTAAAAACAAAGAGATTGTGAATTCTAGTCCTGCCTTACTCCCAGGAGCCAGCTGGGTGACATTGGGCCAGTTATTTTCTCTATATATACTATAAACCACTTCCCAAAAGCCTAACACTTCAGGGATTAGTTTAGGAAGTCACCGGGAACCAAAGCTGACTCGAAGCACGCAAAAATATATAGCATTATCTGTATATATTAACATACCAATGAAGGAGGGTTGAAAGAGGGTCTCTGGGCAACGGAAACGCTCATTCCCTATGGTAATCACCTGACCATCAGGCAACTCGTAGCTTTTCTCTAAGGATGATGAAGAAGCAGCCGTGGCCATCTCATTTTCAAAATCCAGGGCAACGTAACAGAGTTTCTCCTTGATGTCACGGACAATTTCACGCTCAGCTGTGGATGAAATTTTAAGAAGAGATGCCTGCATGAACTCCCGTTCCATCAGATACAAGGAAAAATGCAGTCTTGTGCTATTTGCTTCAGCTACAGTTTAATATTTATGCCGACTGAAACTAAATAAGCCAATTCAACGTTCAGTGTTTTGATCATAAATGTACTACTACCCTGCCAATATTCTGAATTCGCCAAACATTCTTAATTTTTTGTTTTCCTTTAATTTGTCAAAAGTAAACATTCTAGATGGACTTGTCTAACTTCAGAAACTGGTGGTGTGGAAAATAAAACCCAGGATACTATTTGGTTGCTATTATATTGCCATCAAATGTCAGGCTTGAAAGACCAAGTCCATAGGTGGAGATCCAATTCAATTTATTCAATTCAATTGATTTATTGCTCAACAACCTAGGCATAGAAATCTTCTCAACTAGAGTTTAGCATCTGCCTGGAGTTAGATAAGGGTCAACAGAATTCATGGTTGGTTGGTGGGGGGGGGGTCTTGGATTTGTGGCCACGTAAGGATTCTAGGCTGGTTCCTTTTTTTAACTCCACCTCTAGATTTTCCATTCCTCCTACACAGTGTTTCAATTTCCATATTTTAATTTCAATGTTTAAAAAGAAAAAAAAATCCTATCAAATTTTAAATATTTGAATTTAAATTTAAGTAGTATTGGGTAGTGGATATATATTACATATATCCCCCACCCAAAAAAACTCACTCACTCTATCTATCTATCTATCTATCTATCTATCTATCTATCTATCTATCTATCTATCTATCTATCTATCNTTCTGTCTCCACGCTGTTGTCACCCTGTTGATGACGTCAGCTACGCGGTTTAGTCGGACGCGGTTTAGTCGAGCGCGGTTTTGTGGTGGAACCGTTTGTAAGCCACCTGGAGTCACTGAGAGTGAGTAGGCAGCCATGTATATCCTCTAAATAAACTCTAGCCCTCTACAGGATCAGGATATCTGATTTTAACCTAGAAAGTTCAGTTCCTTATATTCTATGTTCTGTGCCTATATTTTGACACAACTCCTTATTTAGGAACAAACCAGGTCTATACCAAGGGGTGTCAAACTGGTGGACCACAGGCCAGATGCATCACGCGTAGGTCACGCCCACCACAGCTCCACCAATGGGAAAAACATAATGAAACATCACATGACGGCAACATGACGCTGTGAGTTTGACACCACGGTCTATGCTGTAAGATTAAGTTATCATTACACCATCATCATCATCATCATCATCATTATTGAAATTGGAGGTTTCCAAAGCAATCTATATTTAAAAAAGAAAAAATAATAATAAGCTATATGTAGTCAGAGCAGCTGTCTTTCTTTGCAAATACCTTCTGTACGTGGGATTTTACTTTTTCTCTCTGTGATATTCAGTTCAAAACAAGATAATCATAGCCTAATTATAGCTTTGATCACATCTCATTAAAGAAGACAAAATTGATTCTATGTAGGTCACTTGATGCCTATGATGATCAAAACAGACACGTATCGTGATGATATCACTTTTAAAGGGATTGTGATAGAAAAACTGCAGCTGCTTCAGGTATTGCCAGTAAGGGCTGATTATGTACATACTTGTAAATTATGTTTATTGCATTACAATTAGTCAGGCTAACAGTGCATAATGGCAATAACATCATTAAATATGTAAATAATAAATAATAGTAATATTACAGCAGGAAAGCCAGGGTGCTTGGCAGAAGCGTGTACATTATTCAGTCAGCCTGCTATTTCTTAGGGCTTCAGATATGGAAAAGTGCCAGTTTGAAAATGTAAAAGGAGTCTGCAGATGTTGAAAATAAGAGTTTGTTTTTTGTTTTGATATGTAATCTGTGCATCATTTTTTTAAAAAAAGAATAGAAATGTCTTCCCCATTTTGCATATCCTGAATCTTTATGTGAATTAAAAAGCAGTTGTATAGAAAATGAAGTTGGAGATATCTAAAGTTTCCCGAAGTTTATAACTCCAAAATTACTCATTTCACTTGCCTACAAAAATAATGCATAGGTTAGGAAAAATTTACACAGCAAAATGTCTATTAAGAGAAAATGCTCATGATTGCATATTGAGGTTTTTTTTTTCAGTCATTCTTTAAAAATAGGAAAATTGTAGCAATATAATCGAGTTAAAAGTTATGAAAGACAGAATGAGATGAAATAAGAGAAAGATACTTCAAGTTGAAGTAAGACGCATCCCCATGTGTCCGAGGATTAATTTTATTAAAACCGAAATAAGCATGAGGAAAAAAAAGTTCAGTGATTTAATTTCCAGCAGAAAAACCCAAGTCATTGGAAAATATGATTGTCCTAGTAACAGATCTAGAGGCAAAGTGGTTAGGCAGAAGAAGTGGAGAGAGGCTTGTGCTGTTTTCATTGACTATTTGTAATTTGTTTTATTTTTTAAATTTCCTTTCCATTGAAAGCATTGAAGAAGAAGAAAAGGATTCCACAAATACCATAAATTTTCTCCTGAGGTAAGAATACAATAGAGAGGGAAGGAGGGATGGGCCCAGAAGTTCTACAGTCCCTCCAACTATGACCTCTATCCAATCATCCCTTTCTTTTAGGCCTGATTTTTCCAATATGGGAAAAGAGCCATGGGAGCTGAATGGAGTTCCATATTAAATGGTCCCCTTGAAGGTTGAAGCCCCACCTCCGATCTTGGAGAGAAACAAATGCTTCCTATCTCACAATTAGCACAAGAGTAGTTTTTATTTAAGAGCCACAGTGGCACAGTGGTTAGAGTACAGTGGTTAGAGTACTGCAGGCTACTTCTGTTGATCACCGGCTGCCAGCAGTTTGGCAGATCAAATCTCACCATGCTCAAGATTGACTCAGCCTTCCATCCTTCCAAGGTGGGTAAAATGAGGACTCAGATTATTGGGGGCAATATCAGGGGTGGGTTTCAACCGGTTCGCGGCAGTCCCTGCGAACCGGTTGGTCGGCGAGCCTGGAAGTAAGTAACTTCCGGGAACGGCGAAGGGCGCGCCTGCCCGCCCGTGGTCCTTACCCAGTTTTGATGAGTTCTG